CAGGTGACGGACACATCCAGCTCGTCGGCAGTGTATTCCTCACTGAGGTTATTAACTTCAAGCTTGCCTCTAAATTTAGTTTTGTTCTGGGACTTTTTCTTGTGGCCTGAGAAATAAATAAAACAGAGGCGACACATTGTAGTTTTTTTAAAAAAACGAAGGTAACCGACACACTGAATTTAAAATAAAGATTAGGCAAAACTTTACAAAGGATATATATCAAATGCATCCTGACAGTCTTATGAATTAACTAAAAGATGGGACAATCATACAATAACATTTCAGGGGGAGACTAAATGTAATAGAATTCTGCACGAAACGCTAGAAAATGTGCAACGGGCATTCGTTGTGGCAACCGCGAGTCTCGAAAGAAAACAATAATTAAAAAATTATACGCCGAAAGGACCAGCATAACGGTCGACTATCAAAGAAGGATATGATGTAAAGCAAGTCAGAAAGCTGGAAGGTACTTTTAGGAAATTTGCGCCCGCAAAGTCAAAAATCTATTTTCATGTTTGGGAGTCCAAAAAAGTTTCAAGTGTCTGTCGAATCTGAGGGACTATTAACGGAAAATGAAATCAATTCTGCTAGAGGTTTCAGGAACAGAAACAGCGCGAAAACGCAAGCAGCATTTTTTAAATAAAGCCTGACAAGAAGTGCAGGTTTAACAGAGAGAACACCAGAATGGTAGAAAGAAAAATGGGACAGTAAGTTTTACGGCACTTAAAGAATAATGCGAAACACAGAATTAACGCTAAGTTGGATAAATATAATATCAAAGTGCAAAAATTGACGTCGGACTGAACAGCAGTCAAAGATATCCTAACTTAATATACTCTTTACCTGCTATAAAGCACAGCAGTGAAAACGGTCACGACATAAACCGGCACAGGATTTCGCGTAACTTTAGTCAGAAGCTGATAGTTGTGAGAGGAGTATCTCTTGTGAGACGTGGAAACATCAGCCAGTTCTTTTTTTCCGAGTTTAATTTGACTCCAAAGGGAAAGGTTATTTTTGCAAACCAGGTAAGAATGCATCTAGCCTCGTTTATTCAGCATCGTCCTTTCGCCCAACACTGGCTTAATTTGATCGAAATGCCAAGGTCCTGTAACAAAAAGTCAATAAGTAAAGCCAGTTTGAAAAGGCTACTTGCAATAACTTTGTAGTCCGCAACGGCGAAACGCAAACCACTACCATGTGATTTATTCCACGAAGTGAGCAGGTCAACACTCTCAAGAAGAGTGACACAAACGTTAGGGCGCAATCGAGGTCCACGATGAGGCACCCAGCGGCACAGTAATCATTAAGAGTATGAATTCCAGAAAAACTCTCCTAAATTGTTATCAGGGCATCGAAACTAGAAGGCTTCGTACGGGCAAATGGCACACGGCCTGTATGAAGTAGCACATATAACGCTGGCACAGGACAAAGCAAAGCCTAGTCAGAAGAGACAGGGCACTCTTTCAGAAAAAAAAATGAGGGAACGCAGGGTCGTTGCAAAGTTGTGGGCAATCAAACAGTGCACTAGACATAAGAACACAAAGATGGAGAACAAATGTGCACAACTCGAATTGTACAGCTGCGGACCCGCAAGTGACTTCACAGACAATTTTATTATTTCTACAAGAAATCAAACTTGAATGGATATTAACATGATAAAACGAACATTCGAAGCAATCAATCAACGCACCTGTCCAATCGGCCTCAATTACCCACTCGTAGAAAAATATTAATTTCGCCTTCCGATTGTTCGCCACAGCCTCACCCTCGCATTTCGTTACATGAGTAATCTCGCAAAATACTATCGATAAAATATAAAAATAACTTAATCATACTATCGTCTGAATCGATAACCAGCCCGTTCAAAAGAGAGTTGATCTTGTCAATGGACCATTGACTGGCGTTCTTCTCAGTCCAGTGCCAATTATTTACATTTTTTGCATCTGCTCGCTCCTCTACAATCCACCGAGGATCACCTTCTCCCCATTTCGCCATGCCCGACGATATCAAGTTGTCACGCGAAAAAGGCCAAGCTGCGGAGCCGCGGCGGGAAAAAGGGTCGCGACTAAAGTAGAGGCGCACGAATTTTCGAGAATTTCAGTTCGTCAGTGACCAAATCAAGAAAGAGAAAGTTTTCAATTTCAGCAAGGGTTTAGATATTCGGTTTATGGGATAACCTAGTCAGCCAACCGATATCAATAAGCTGTGGCTAACAAGTAATCAACTACTCCGGGGTTTTCTTCTATCGGTCAAAACTTGTTTCTGCCTGAAACTCAATCGAAACCATATCGGATAAATTTAGGCATTGCATACGGGCTTTTAGCGTCGCAGCCTTCGAAAATAGTTTCAGATTTGTGTTTGACAAAGCCGTGTTGTTCTATCGAGAGGATTGTGGTTGGCCCAATGTGGGCATCGGTTTCGCGACAGATGAAATTTTCCTGCACTTTCACAAACATCGAAGTCAGGCTCTCTGGTCGATAATTCTGGGGAGTTATCAGACTGTGCTTCAAGCCATCTGGTACTGTTGCAGTGGCTAGCGTACAAAGAAACAGTCCTCTGATGCTCGGTGCGATTATAGAAGCAAGCTCGCGACTTCGTCGTGCTTCGCAAACAGTCGTTGGATGTTGGTATGCAGGAAGTATAGTCTGCAGATTTTAATAGCGCTACTAAGCACTATATTTCAGTTTGCCTTGAATTTCCCAATACAGTATTCGTACTACGATTTTAAGAATTAACTAGGTCCGGAGAAATATCGTATTTCTCTGTCTCTTTCGTCCTTGAAAATAGCTACCCTGCCAACACATGGCCGCGCCCACTTGGTGTGGCCAGACTAGGCCAA